GAGCCTCAAGCCGTCGCCCTAGGTAGAGTGCCGGGGCATCACAGCTCACAGCAACCCCCAACTCCTGGGCTCAAGTGATTCTCTTGCCTCCGCCTTTGAAGTGGCTGGGACTACAGGTGCCTGCCACAAAGCCCAGTTATTTTTTGGTTGCAGCCATCATTATTGTTTGGCAGGCCGGGCTGTATTTGAACCCTCCAGCTCAGGTGTATATGGCTGGCACCTTAGCCACTTGAGCCACAGGCACCAAGCCTATTTTTAGGTATTCTAAAAGTTTTAGTCGCTTTCGAAGATTGATATGTTATTTTCATTACATCTTCAGACTGATTGTGCTAGGTAAATATGAAAGCTATTAATTCTGAATTTCATTGTCTAGCTTTTAAAACTTACAGTTTTGACTCTGTGGCATTAAAGCCAATCTTTGTGAATGTTCCATTGATATTTGATATTAATAGGCAGTCTAATTAATTAATTAGTTTAATTAATTAATTTCAGGGTGCAGTCTCATATCAATTGGATTCATCATACTCTGTTTATGTGATATATAGTCATACTTTGTATCGACTTGATCTGTAGCACACTGAGAGAGGTGGGTTCAGCTCTCCTTTTATATTTTTATTTTTGTCTATTTCTATTTTTATCTAATATAGTTAGCTTGATATTTATTATTAACAACCCATTGACAGCATAAGGATTATGTCATTTTATTTATTTATTTATTTTTAGACAGAATTTCACTCTGCCGCCCTGAGTATAGTGCCGTGGCATTATCATAATTTACACCAACCTTAAACTCTTGGGCTCAAGTGATCCTCCTGCATCAGCCTCCTGAGTAGCTGGGACTACAGGTGTTCACCACAAGGTCCAGCTAGTTTTTTATTTTTCTTATTTATTTATTTTTAGTACAGATGGAGTCTTGCTCTTGCTCAGGCCAGCCTTGAACTTCTGACCTCTGTCTCAGCCGCCCAGAGTGCTAGGATTACAGGTGTGAGCCACCACACCCATCCCAATTATGTCATTTTAAATTCCTTAAAATTAACATCATGATAAGATCTTGCCTTGTCAATCTTAGCAGTCAAGTTCCTCCCCTTAACCCTTTGGTACCTCAAAAATACTGATCTATTATTATATTTTGCCTTTTGAAGAATTTCATAGAGGTGGATTCACATAGTGGGCAGTCCTTTGTGTCTGCTTCTGACACTAAGCAAACTACTTCTCAGAGACACCTGTGCCATAGTACATGTCGGTGATCCATTCCTTCCTATTGATGGGTAGTATTTCATGGTCATGAAACATTTAAGTTTGTAGCTATTATGAACAAATCCACTGTGGATTCATACAAGACTTGATGTGAACATATATTGTTGCTTCTCCTGGATAAAGGCCCAGGAATGAAATCTCTGGGCTACATGGTAAAAGTATGTTTAAGTTCACATGGCGTTACTCTGTCACATTGTTTTCCAAAGTTGATAAGCAATTTTGCATTCCCAGCAATACTGCATGACAATTCTAATTGTTTCATACCCTCACTAACACCTGGCACTGCCAGTTATCTTATTTCTAGCCATTCCAGAGGTTGTGTAGCAGTACCTCCTTCTCAGTTTCCACTTGTTCTCCTTCAGTGGTAAAGATACTAAACATTTTTCCTGTCCTTATTTGTCGTCCATATATTTTCATTGGGAAAATCGAGGAAATTTTGTCAATTTTTCAGCTGGGTTGTTTCATGTTTTGTTATTGAGTTGTAAGATTTTTACTTTTTAGATTTTTCTTTGTGATATCTAGCTATTTTATGTTTGTATGCATGGCTTTCTTTGTGTTTATTATGCTTGGAGTCCACAGTAATTCCTAAATCTATAGTTTAATGTCTTCTTAAAGTTTTGAAATATTCTCATTCTTGCCTGATATACTATTTCTGCCACATTTTCTCTCTCAGTTTTGAATGGAAATTTAGTTGTTCGTCTGCTAACCCTTTCCATCTTGCCCCATGTGTCTTTGGTCTTTCCTGACTTGTAACCCTTCCAGCTCTTTATGCCTCAATGTCTGAATTCTCTGTCTGAATATATGTTTCTGACCAGTCTTCAATTCAATGATTGTTTCTTTTGCTATGTCTGTATTACTATTAAATTCAACCCATGTACTGTCCCTTTGGTTTACTTTATTGTTCAGTTCCCAATTTTCCATTTAGTTCTCTCTCACAGTATAAACCTTCTGCTAACAGTATCCACTTTTTCTTTCAATTCCTTGAATGTATAAAGCATACCTTGCTTACAATAACTCCATTGCAAATGAATTAATTCATTGTAATACTTTTATAGTCTAGAAGTTTAAATTGTATAAGTTATTTTTTTGAGACAGACTCTCAAACTGTATGTTATTTTTTAATTTCAGAATATTATGGGGTGCACATTTTGTTTATATACTTTTTGTACAGATTGAGTCATAGTTATACACATAAGTGTGCCCTTCACCCAGATAGTGCACACTGTACCCAACAGGTATGAATTTACCCACCTCTTTCTCCTCCCAACTCCTCAGCTTGATTTTCATCGACATTTACTTTCATTCATGCACTTAAATGTTGATCTATTAGTTCCAGTGTAATATTGAGTACATGTGTTTTTCCCTCCATTTTTGTGCTATTTCACTTAGAAGAAGAATGGTTTCCAGTTCCCTCCAGGTTATCACAAAAGGTACTAGATCATATTTTATAGCTGGGTAATGCTCCATAGTATGTACATTCTAGTAATCCATTCACGTATTGGTAGGGACTTGGGTTGTTCTCATGTCTTTGCAATTATGAATTGTGCTGCTATAAACATTTGAGTGCAGGTGTACTTTTTAAAAATATTTTTTCCTTTGGGTGTATACTTATCAGTGGGATCACTGAATCAAATGGTCTACTTTGAGTTCTTTGAGGTGTTGTCATACAATTTCCTATAGAGGTTGCACTAGTTTGCAGTCCCACCAACAGTATATGAGTTCCTTTTCTCTACACACTCACATCAGCATCTGTTGTTTTGGTACCTCTTAATGAGTCATTCTTATTGGAATTAGGTAATAACTCATTGTGGTTTTGATTTGCATTTCCCTAGTGATTAGAGATGTTGAATATTGTTGGCCATTTATATCTTCATTTGAAAAGTTTCTGTTCGTTTTTGCCCACTTTTTTTTGAGACAGTCTCACTTGTCACCCTCTGTAGAGTACTGTGGCATCATAGCTCACAGCAACCTCAAACTCTTGGCATCAAGAGATTCTCTTGCCTCAGCCTCTCTAGTAGCTGGAACTACAGGCACCTGCCACAATGCCTGGCTATTTTTTCTTTTTTTTGATTAGCAGGTCTGGAATGGGTTTAAACCCACCAACCTCAATGCATGTGGCCAGCACCCTAACCACTGAGCTACGGGCTATTTTTTTTGCCCACTTTTTTGATGGAGTTGTTTAGTTGGTTCTTGCTGATTTGCTTGAGTTCTTTGTAGATTCTGGTTATCAGTCCTTTATCATATGTAAGCATGTGAATATTTTCTCCTGTTTTATGGATTGTCTATTTGCTCTTTTGATCATGTCCTTGGCTGTGCAGAAGCTTCTTAATTTGATGTCTCATTTATTTATTTTTTGTTGTTGCTGTGATTGCTTTTGGGGTCCTCTTCATGAATTGTAGTTTAAAAGCATGCAAGATGAAGCAGAAATACAGAGCTTAAGAAAAAGCATGCAAGACAATTATTATAGAGTGCTTAGGGGTGCCCACATATGTAATAAAACAAAGAAATATGTGGAATTAACCTTCCTATTGATGGGTAGTATTTGAACAGCAAATTCAGGATGATAATTACCTTTGAGTTAGGAGGTAGTGGGAAAGGTCTGGGAGGGAGGACATAGTGTGCTTTAGTTCTTGATGAGTGGTTATAATATGGGCCTTTATTCTCCTTGCTCCATGTCTTAAGAACTGGATAATTAAACGAGGCTCACATGTGTGTGTACCCAATGAAAGGCTCTGAAGAATGAATGGTAGAATGAGGAGGAGGAACAGGAAACAGCTATCCTCGAGGCCACATAGGAGCTAGGGCTGAATGCACAGAGGTCCCTGCAGGGTGGGTGACAGAGGCAGGCAGGTAGCTGGATCAGGTAAGGATTTTGAGGATAACAGAAATTGTAGGGTAGAAATAAGGGCCAAGGGTGGCCCCTAAGTTATCCTGGATCCCAAGGAGAATACAGGTAGAGTTTCTTTATGCTGTGGGAGGCACAGACCTGGGGAGGAAAGCAGGAGTCCAGATGTGAGCAAATCAGGGGTAAGATGTGTCCAGACAGAGCTGCCAAGTGCTCAGCTGGATGTGTGGGAGAGGTACAGCAAAGGGGTGGCTCAGAGTGGAGGCGGTTTTAACCTGGAGATGAGCCACAGTGCCTCTGTCTATCTAACAAAAAGAAAATAAGAAAAATGAAATCAAGATATTAACTTAGCTAGTAATTAAAAATTTATTTAGGAACAACTTCAAGCATGTCATCATAAGTTGATTCTACCGCAGGAAATGCACCAACATAGGCCCATAAGGAAGAGTTAATAGATGTCATAGTGGTTGGATTTCTTTGTAATTCAAATAAATATATACAATTTTTGAAGGTATAAAGATAATATTTAAGGATTCATATTCTAGTTAATTCTACAACTCTATGTATAACTTAATACTTCATTTAAGCTGATTTCTTTTTTTGTCACTTTATAAATAGAAAAATATAAATTGACATTCATGGCTCAATCTCCAAGATCTCAAATTAACATAGTTACCATGCCCATAGCTAGTTTAAATTTTAGTGATGTTTGAAAATGAACACAAAAGTACTATGACCATGTAAATTGTAGGATATTAAGTACCTGATAAAAACAAGTAAAAAGTATTTAAAAATATGAAAGCTAACAGTTTATATACAGAAAAACAAAATCTTTTACATACTGGATTGAAAGTTTGCA